AGAGTCTTTTTGGCTTTCTCCCTTTGATCCTCAAGGTTTTTCTTATCTCGGTGAAGTTTGCATTCCGGGTTTTTCTCAGAGTCGGGAGCACCCTGAAGTCCTGCAGCGAGACGACAGGAGCAGCGCTCCCTGTGAGCGGGTCACTGCCGACAGCGCCTGGGAGCCGAGCTGTGGATCGATAAACACGATATCAATACAGTTCATATGAATGATTGTTTTCTCCTCAGAGGGGAGCTCTCAGTTTCAACCAGATCTCCGTAAACACAGATCCTACCAGGTGCCTCATGTTTCCCAAGGTTAAACCAGCTCATTAAGCTCTATTATTCGCCTCTTGGCGAAAACGCGACGATTAAAAGTTAAAAGTGAACATTTATTTTTAATGAACAAAAGTAGAGGAACTTCGAAAATGTCAAACTTAGCATGACCTTTCGTTTTTATCGTATTTTCAATGTATATTCTTCAAGCAGAAACAAATCTTATTAAAGGAGACATAAACGTGTCAAGAGCATGGAGATCAATTCTCATTTCGTTCGCTACGAGATATGTGTTTGTTAATGTTCGCAATTGTATTTCAACTTTGTCTTTATCCTTTGATTCTCTTCTTAACCCCCTCTGCTCCTACTGTATTCAGAACCACCGTCTACTGTCTCCTCTGTGTATCCTCATCCTGCTCGTCTTGTGTCTTTTTTGTTGTCATTCTGTAAGGCGCTTTGAGAAGACACCTTTAAAGGCGCTATATACAATAAAGTCGATTATTATTATCTTAATCGTGGGTTTTGTCCCATTAAAGATGTTCTGCAGAGATTCGCTTATGTCCCGGGGGTTCACTGTGAGTTTTTCTTAGTATTCTGGAAATACACATTTCACCTCAAAATCAATAACGAACAACAAACCTGGAAAGGGAAACCTATCCACAAACTGAATGTCGGTTTAAACACAACCATTTTTATTCCTTCAAAACATAATCGCTCCGGTAGTTTGGACAGGAACTAGGCACGAAAAACAGCAAAACCTGCGGTATAATACTGTAACGCATACGGGCTCCATTGCTCGTCAGAGCCGGCTTACCAGAGCGGTGACGTCACCGCCCTTACTTGTGAAGAGTAGGGACCGCAGCCGCTAACCCGTAACCCCCGTAGCGTTACAATATAAAAGGAAACCCATACTGAGCTCGCGCTGGGGGTGACTGGGACTGATGCGCGGCGGGTTTTTCCAGAAGCTGGGATTTGAATTCTGACCGGAGGAGTAACTGCAAAACGGCAACATCTATGTCGTCTACTACGTTGCGTCAGATATCATGAGGTGTGCGGTGTGCGGTGTGAGGTGTGATATCATGAGCCCGGGGACTGACAGCGTGGTCGTGTCTGTCTTCTGCCGCCCCCCCCACCAGGGGCTGTCGTCAGTGTGGAGCAGGCGGGGCTGTACCCTGACCCTGAGGACCCCTGACCCTGAGGAGCCGGGCGAGCGACCCTTCCCGTATTGCGCGCGAGGCTGGGAGCGCTGTAACCTGCTAATAAACACGCAGTCGTCCAACACCGGTCTGATTGCCTCCCTGCACATCCTTCGAAGTGTGTCATGTTAATGTAAATAGCGTACGGAAACATCGATGGGTCATTTGCATAATCGTTCTTCTCTGTTGCCGTGGGGACGCCACGTCACCCGCGCGGAGCAGCTCGCGGACAGGTGGAGAGCTCGCGGGGGACGGGGGCAGGGGTCCCCCTTCGCCTCGTGGCAAAGCCAACCACTTGTCCGTGGCCCGAGGCAACACTTCGATGACTGAAAGAAGTATAATATCTTGCAAAACCCTCTGATGTTTTCGAACTCAAAGTTTTATACCGAGATGAATGGAGACACCCCACTAAAAAAAACACTTTGCCGTGTTTTGCGATTGATAAGCACTGATGAGATAACAGCGATGTCACCCACGGTGCTGCCCGTACTCTGGATGTGCTCACTGTCACTGTCTGTCTCACGACAATAATAATAACTTTATATAGCGCCTTTAAAAAGAACTTCAAAAAGTGCTTAACAGTAAGAAAGCAACAATGATAGGAGATAAAAAAGTTCACTAAAAATCAAGGGTTTTGAGTGTGGTAAACACGGGGCAGATCTCACCATGATGAGTCTATTCTGCACCTGTTCTGCTTCAGGAAAATCAATCAAGCACTCAGTTTTACAAACCAGAAATCACACAGACACACCGGGCTCCCAGACGCCAATCAACTCCCAGCATGTCTTTGGACACTGGAGCACCTGAAGGAAACCCCTGTGAACATGGGAAGAACATGCAAACTCCACACAGACAGCACCCCAGGAACTGAACCCAGGGCCCCAGCGCCCTGAGGCAGAAATAATAGCCTCCGTGCCCCCTGCTTTAGGTTTATTTGGTTTTTAATTTGCGGGGTGTTTCTTATAGTCACACAGGATGGGCGTCAGTAGCTCTCTAGTTGCAGTGCAGGACTGGAACAGCAGGTCAGTAGTGAGCCTGTCCTGGAGTTAGTTATTTGTTTGTTTATCAACGGCTAAGCCTTTTATCACTGGAGAGTTTATGTTTCCTGTAAAATTTGTAGGAATGTTGCTGTCGAGAACCAGCTGAGGCCGAACACCAGGCATAACTGGGAGCAGACCTCAACACCACAGCATGAGGAAGAATGCAGCTGGGTCTTGTGCAGACTTTGATGCGGGAGGTTACTATCAGTGTGGTGGGCGTGGACACTCTGAGAACTGGACCACTGTGCTGT